AGGCAGGTGACTCCCCCCCCCACTTTGTGATCGACTCCCCCTGGGGGGGTGGTAGGGGCGTTGGGTTCCGGGGGGAGCTCTGGTCCCAGCCCCCGCTGCTGCTGCTGCGCCTCGGGATTTCCCAGGACGGGAGGCGGGCGCGGGGCGGATTTTGCTCCCCCCCCTTCCTCGTGAACTTTGGTAGGGTCCCAGCGGAGCTGCGGAGTGAGGGGGGGGTGCGTGTATCTGGGGGGGCCTTGCCGTTTGCGTATCCGCCACCTTCCCTGTACGCACTAGGGGCCCGATCGTGCAGCGTTTGCCAACATAAGGCTTGCTCGCCGGTGCAACCATTGCAAGTTTCAGCCTTTAAAGGTGCGTTAATAAGGCTCCCCGTGTTGAGTGTTGTCTTTTACTTTCTGAATGTATTTATTTTAATAATGGTCTGTACGTACTTCATCATCTGTTGGGCAAGACAGCGTTTGGAAATCTTACTGTGAAGAGATTGCTCGGTAGAGATTTATGGGGCTTTGCAGGATTAAATTAAAGTGGCTTGGCAACCAACACATTCAAGGTTGCCCAGTAGGCATTGATCAAACTATTGACTAAATATCAGTGAATTACACTGATGAGACTGTTACGGTAACGTTTCGGATCTCGCTAATCGACGGATCAGAGTAGGAAGTGTACACCTAAGCAACAAGGAAGACAGTTCCTGTCCCAGAGATATTACTTTAGAAAGAGTGGCAAAATACAGCTTGCTGATTTTATTAGAAAGCTGACAGCAAGTAGAAACTCTACCCAAATCAGTCACTTACAAGGTATCCTCACTGTTTTGAATATACAGATGGTTTTTTTGTTTGTTTGTTTGTTTACAAAATTACTAAAGCTACATAGCTGAAAGAGATGGGAGTGAAGGATGAAACTGTTCATTTTTGCTTCCTGTTTGTGTGGGTTTCCAGTCAACAAGAGTAATATTTTTTTAAAGGTAGGAAAATCTGGTTATAAAAACAAATGACAGGGATGTGAGAGAAATTGTAATATCCAATTTAATTTTAAAATGAGCCATCAAAATGTAAGTTTCAAAATGTGAGTTACAATAGTTTTGAATTCTGTGATGGAAGCAAATGTTGGATTTCATACCTAATGGTGCCTTTGAAGCAGGGAGACTACTATTGTTTAAAAGCACTAGTTAATGAGCAATTTTATTGTATCTCTAAATATATTTTCTAATTGTTAAACCAGAACCCACTGACAATGTTTTGTTCATGCTTATGTGAATTTTTCAAGTTGTTGCAGAGGCTTAGAACTAAACTAAAATTGCAAGTAAATCCTTAAGTTCTATTAAATGCACAATGAATACTATATAGTTTTTAAATCAAGTGCATTTTTATGATAAATTTTAAAATCAGTTTGTTGAAGGGTCACCAAAGATAACCAAAATCTTTGAGGAAATACTTTGTTAAATGCTCTCAACATTTTTTTATATATTTTTTTTTTTATTTGACCTCTGAAGTAAAAGCATGTGTCCCTTTTTATTGCATTATGTAATGTTCTAGGCAATCTTTTGTTTGGAGCCTAGTAAAGCAATTCTGGAATGATAAGAGTCAGAGTGGTAGTCAAAGATCTTGAATCTGAATGCATTGCACTGCCTGTTCTTACTGATTTTGATTTTAGGGTATGCCTATTCCACAATGGCACAGCTATGGTGCTGCAGCTTTCCTGTTGTTGAACCATGGTCTGTCGATTGTAGATAGGTTAACAAAAGAATTTTTTTGTTAACCTAGTGGTGTCTACACTGGTGATTATGTCTACTTCTTACATTGAACAGGGCTCAAGTTTTTCATAGCCCTGAGCAGTGTAGCTAGGGCAATTTTTTTGCCTTTGTTACACATTGGAGCTCCTTTGTGAATTTGTCCTGAACTCTGATAAGCAGGTGTGTCTCATACATAGCTGATACAATTGAAAAATCTTTGAATACAAGTGAAATATCTTCCTGAGACACTGTTCTTGTTGGCTGGCTTCTTGAAAAGCATTACATAGTGACTTGGACATGGCAGTCTCCTTCCATTAGGAATGAAAATGCAAAACTGCAATCCTTCATAATTCATTTTTGTACAGTTCTAGTATTTAATGTGTTTCTGGTGATGGTGCTATTTCATCTTGGTTACTCCTGCTTTGGGAACATCAACCAAGGTTTTCAAAAGTGACTAGTAATTTTTCAGTGCCTCAATTGTAGTGTATGCAACTTCAGACACTTTAAAGGTCTGCTTTTTTTCAGAGGGTGGATGTACCACGCTTTCTTAAAATCGGACCTCTTTAAGGGGCATCATGTGGCACACCTGAAATCATGGTGGGTAAATATAAATGGTTTTAAAAATATTTTGATTAAATAATTTAAAAAATGGATTTTTATATTTTTTTACTTTGTTTTCAAATGGAATATTAATTCAATGCAAAATACACCAAGGCTTAAATTATTTCTTAAAACATTTAAATAAAAATGTGTTAAATCCATGAACTGCTGTCAAACTTAGAGATGAAAGCTGTTTTTTCTCTATAAAGAAAGGTGTTTCCCATTATTTAAACTTTTGAGGTCAAGCTTAATAAATATGGCACAGTAGCTCAGCCAAAATAATTTCGGAGATTGTTTCATTGTCAAGAATATTAGGCAATGGGAATATAAATGCTAGTAACTTTCACTTAGGCATACTTAAAAATTTTCCTCGGCTTATATGAAACAATCAGTTTGTTTAGTTTAGAAAAGAGAAGATTGAGGGGGGACATGATAGCAGTTTTCAGATATCTAAAAGGGTGTCATAAGGAGGATGGAGAAATCTTGTTCATCTTGGCCTCTGAGGATAGAACAAGAAGCAGTGGGCTTAAACTGTAGCAAGGGAGGTTTAGGTTGGACATAAGGAAAAAGTTTTTAACTGTCAGGGTAGTCAAACCCTGGAATAAATTGCCCAGGGAGGTTGTGGAATCTCCATCTCTGGAGATATTTAATAGTAGGTTGGATAAATGTCTATCAGGGATGGTCTAGACAGTATTTGGTCCTGCCATGAGGGTAGGGGTCTGGACTCGATGACCTCTTGAGGTCCCTTCCAGTCCTAATATTCTATGATTCTATAATTTGCTAATTACAGTTAATATCAATGTTTAAAAAATAATTTAGCTATAAACATGAGGCCTCTTCTGATAAGAAAAAATTGTGTGTTCAAAATATTGTTGTTCACTAAAAATATTGAAATGTGTGAAGTAACTATGTTGGCACTATGTCCATTCTGAAGCAGAGTTGAAAACACAAATGAAATCCTAATATCCAGTCTACTTTTTAGTTGGTAGTCAGTCTTTCCTAATGAAGTTTATACTTCCGTTGATATCCTTGCTCCAGCTCACATTACTACTGTGATTCTCAAAATATGAAATGTGTGTTTCTTTCAGAAAATCTACTCCTTAGAATGCATAGTTCTTGTTCACCATAAATTAGCCAAGTATACAAATGACTGTTAAGGTGTCTGTAGATATACCTCTAATGTTCTTTGCCATAAATTTCTTCAGGGGCTTTCTTCTCTAACAGGTGTGGTTAGAGACCATGAATATATATGCCTTTGAATATATCATTATCTAGTAGAGTGTGTGGGTATTTATTTTGATATGGGGGTATTAATAATTCTGACTTCTGAGATCTAATTTAACGCCATCTGAAGTAGATGGAAAAAATCCCCATTGACTGCATTAGGATTTGGATCAGGCCATTTAATCTTCATGTTGTCTACCCGAAGAAGACTTGTATTTGTGTTCTGGTAGCATCCACAAAGTGATGGGCATTTGTCACACACGGGAAAATACAGTCTTGTTGTGAAGAGTTTGCAGTCTAATAGGCAAATTTCCAGATACAATTTCTTAACGTCTTGTTACAAACTAGACCAACTATACTAATAATTGTGCACACATTCTTATTTGGAACCAACGTGGTCTCCTGGAGCTGCAGGTTTGATTTTTTTTTTTTCCACAGAAGTATAGGAAGTGAAAATTAATGTTAAACCCTTCATCTATATATTTTAGGGATGTTAAATATTGATTAATTAAATATTCGATTACACTCATGAATTCTTATTGGCTACTCGACTATTCTGTAGTCCCCAGGTGTGAAGTTGGTAACCAACCTAGGAGCCCCCCTGCCACTCTCCGCCGCTGCCTCTGGATCAGAGGCAGCAGCGCAGGGTGCAAGGAGGGAGCTGGTACACAAGGGGAGCCAGTTTAAAAACCATCTCCCCTCACGGACCAGCTGCCTGTCACCCCACACTGCTGCTTTTGATATGAAGGCAGCAGTATGGGGTGGCAGCAGCCTCTGCCCAGAAGGTATCTGAACTCCCGGACCTGGTACGAGTCAGAACTGAGCTGGGCTGCCTGCCCACCTGGCTCATAATACGCTTTAAAAGCAGAGCCACAGCAGGGGTAGGTCCCGGATGTGGCGCAAGACGGGACTGAGCTGGGTTGCTGGACAGCCTGCTAACACTTTATTGGAGGGGAGGGAGAAGATGTGTGTAGTCTAGAGCATTAACCTATAAGCTTTTGCTTGTCAGCTAATCGGTTAATTGACTACCCTATTATATCCCTAATATATTTACTATAATATAAATTACAGACTTCTTTTTAAAATGTCTAGTTTCTTGAAATTGTAAGATTGGAATTCTGCAGTGAAAATCGAATATAAAAATGATTAATAAGACAAGGTGTCAGTCTTTGAACATTTGTATTTATTTATACACTTTTTTAATGTTTCTCTTAGGAATACTTATTTTAAGCTGTAACTAAAAGTACCTTTTTAAAGATCAAGAGTGCACAGAAAAATATACCAACCAAAATTCAACCATGATTCTGGCCATGCTTATTTTTATTAATTGATTTAGAGTCTGCCTGCCTTTCATTAATTTAATTATATGAAGTTCTGTATGTAGTTTTGTATTGGCCTGTGTGTATAAGTATGAGATGTTAGCTGTAAAATGTGTTTTTGCAGTGTTCAAGAAATTATATTAGAACATAAGAATAGCCATATTGGGTCAGACGAACGGTTCATCTAGCCCAGTATCCTGTCTGCGGACAGTGGCCAATACCAGATGCCCCAGAGGCAGGGAACACAATAGATAATCCTCACGTGATTCCCTCCCCTGTCACCTGATTCCAGACAAACAGGGAGAATTCTATAGGAAATGTATAAGTCACTTGTAATCTTCATGTAGGAATCATTGAAATCTTCAGGAGAAGGGAGGATTCTGGGTGGTAGAAAGTTAAGATGATTTATTGGTGACTTCATTAGTTATTTTATTTTATGACATGCAGTGGTGGGATATCCAATCTAACCACTTCAACTACAGTTAATAGTATTTTATAGGGAGATAGATATGCAAACATTTAAAAACGTTAATTTTGAAATTAATGCTCATGTACGCTAAAGAATCTGTTGAATGAGCCAGCTGAAGTGCTAAAAGTTACAATGTGAGTAACTTAACAACTAAGTGATCAACAGCTCGATGTCAGGTTGGTGGTCGGTTTCTAGCGAAGTGCCCCAAGGATCTGTTCTTGGACCAGTTTTGTTCAACATCTATATTAATGACCTGGATGAGGGGATGGATTGCACCCTCAGCAAGTTCTCAGATGACACTAAGCTAGGGGAGATATAGATGCACTGGAGGGCAGGGATAGGGTCCAGAGTGACCTGGACATATTAGAGGATTGGGCCAAAATAAATCTGAGGTGGTTCAACAAAGACAAGTGTAGAGTCCTGCACCTGAGACAGAAGAATCCTAAACATTGTTACAGGCTGGGGACCGAATGGCTAAGTAGAAGTTCTGCAGAAAAGGACCTGGGGATTACAGTGGATGAGAAGCTGGATATGAGTCAACAGTGTGCCCTTGTAGCCAAGAAAGCTAATGGCATATTAGGATGCATTAGGAGGAGCATTGCCAGCAGATCCAGAGAAGTGATTATTCCCCTTTATCCAGCTCTGGTGAGGCCACATCAGGAATATTGTGTCCAGTTCTGGGCCCCCCACTATAGAAAGGATGTGGACGCATTGGAGAGGGTCCAGCAGAGGGTGACCAAAATGATTAGGGAGCTGGAGCGCATGACCTATGAGGAGAGACTGAAGGATTTGGGTTTGTTTAGACTACAGAAGAGAAGAGTGAGGGGGGATTTAATAGCAGCCTTCAATTTCCTGAAGGGAGGTTCCAAAGAGGATGGAGAAAGGCTGTTCACAGTGGTGACGGATGGCAGAACAAGGAGCAATGGTCTCAAGTTAGTGGGAGAGGTCTAGGTTGGATATTAGGAAAAACTATTTCACAAGGAGGGTGGTAAAGCACTGGAATGGGTTACCTAGGGAGGTGGTAGAATCTCCAACCCTAGAGGTTTTTAAGTCTCGGCTTGACAAAGCCCAGGCTGAGTTGATTTAGTTGAAATTGGTCCTGCCTTGGGAAGGGGGCTGGACTTGATGACATCCTGAGGTCTCTTCTAGCTCTATGATTCTACTGGTGTGGAATGTGACATGGGGTATTATAAGGATGACTGAAGCATGATGGCATAGTAGTCATGACTAGAATACAAATATTGAAGGGTATGAGCATTCCAGGAGAGAGAGTTGAAAGTTATGGGGTAATGTATATCAATAATGTGGTAAACGGTAAAGAAATAAAATGGTCTTGGTAGGGGTGTTTAATTGCGTTTAATCAACTAATCGACAAGTCAATTAAATTTCCGTTGACTAGTTGATAAGCATGGGAAATTGCGGAGCTGCAGCAGAGTTAGATCCCTGCTCTGCCTTTTTAATGTATTAGGAGGTGGTGGGCTCTTAATACATTTAAGAGGCTAAAGTGCAGTGGGGAGGGGGAGACTACATGCGATCTGGGACAGCTAATTCCCAGATTGCACCTGGTCCCCCAGTTCACGCCTTGTTCCCTCCACTGTCCTTCAGCCTTTTAAATGTATCAAGAGACTGCTGGCTCTTGATAGATTTAAAAAGAAGCAGCACAGTAGGGGGGACAAGACACGAGCTGGAACAGCTGCTTCTCAGCTCACACCCGGTCCCTGCAATGCCTCTGCCTCCCCTGACCCCTGCAGAGACAGTGCTGTTGCGGGGCTCGTTTTTTAGGTGGCTTCCTCAGCACTGGCTTCTGTTCCCCACCCTTGCCGCCTCTCTCTGATAGCGGCAGCAAGGGGGGGGGAGAAGCGACTAGTCAAGTCACTAGTCGACTATCCAATAAGCATATGCTTATCAGATAGTCGACTAGTCACTGACATCCCTAGGTCTTGGTCAGAATCATAGTGGGAAGGATAAAAGAGGTTCTTGGTCAT